TTTTTTTTCCAGAAAAAGACATCCTTGCTTGACGTTCGCACCGAGGATTACCGTACCGCACAAAACGAATGCATAACAAATAGATGACCACTTAACGATTTGGAGCGTTTGATTCGTTTGAAAGCAATTTATTGACACTAAGAAAGCAGTGCTGAAATTACCGCAAACCAAGGTTACCAAGGTTATCTAGCTAATAAAATGAGAAATAGCATGATCCTAGATGCTTTCACACCCTCTTGTTTCCGTGGAGGATGAAAAATTCCTTTGACAAGACGCTTCCAAAGCTATCTGCGTTAAAGCCCAGTAAGCACGCACGAAGACGAACAGCGTAAGCGCACAGATCCGCCTTGAAGCGCATATAGAATCGGGGAAAACTAAGGCTAATATTGATGTGGAAGCAGCAGAAGCTAGAATCTAATTCGAGCGTTCTGCCGGCTTTTAGCTTGCCAGCTGGGGCAAGTACACAGTTGACCGAGTACAAGTAATTGACTGGATAGATGCAGCCGTTTCAATGGCAAAAGAAAACCAAAATCAGGATAAAAAAACGAAGACATGTTCAACAGGCTCGGGCAAGATCCAAGACAGCCCGACAATCAGTTTTTCCGAAATCACGTGAGTCATTTGCAAAAACACAACGTTTACAACTCGCTTTTACTGAACCAGACATCTGAAACCTTGAGTATTAGCTAAGGAGTTGGCGTTAAGAACAATCAGGCTTTGACAATATCGAGCTGAATCTTAACACTAAGAAAGGATCTTTGCGGTGTTGACTCGCTTTTAAATGGTAATATGACTTTAAAGAGCTTCATCGGACAATTTATTTGCATATTTGTTCCTCATAAATAAAAATGCCATATTCGGAGGCCCTATATCACTGATCGTGCACGTGTCATCCCAGTCCATCCAACTTCTGATGCCACTACCCCCGCGCACGATAACGAAGGGTAAGTCGCCAAGTGTTGCTTTACCACTCCTACGGCGTGATTCTACAGCTATCGTAGTAACCTTAGTCAAATATTGCGTTACCCCGCGTTTGCTTTTTTTTGTTTTCGCGAGAAACGGATCTGCTCATGTGCTAAACTTGGGCGGTCGACAACATGATGTCCTCATTTTGCGTCTGGTCCGATGCTGTTCATTTCGAGATGAAGACACGGCCAGCAGAATCGTTGTTTGTCCAGCGCGACCCAGTCGTCAGAGGGCCCCGTCCAAGTGTTTGGCAAATACTACTGTCAAGCTCTCGACCAAAGATGTCGAGATCTGAAGTCGTCCCGTTGGGTTCACTGCCTTCAACTGGTGATATTGGCTCCCGAGAACTCTCCAGTAATCTATCTACGCTTCGCAGACGGAGTATCGAGGCAATCCATCTTACATACGTGTCGTTCAAAGATGCTTTCGGCGTGTTAGGGCTTCCCATGGTCCTGGTAGCAGTGATTTCAATCTTTTGGACAATATGGCTGATCATATTGACGCTCGCGCCAAACAAAACAGCCAATTACCTGATGAACACACACGAATACGACAACGGACAATTCTGGCTCATTCCAGAGGAATTGTCCATCTTACAGATTTTTAGCGTTGCTGGATTCTTGGTTGTACTCGTCTTGTACATTATCGTGTTACTTAAGATGCTGGTTTGGAGAGAATATCACCACGTAGAGGGATCACTGCTTGATCGGATACTGGAGAGGTGTGTACCGAACCAAGCTGAGTCCGATGATTGGTCGAAGTTGGACTTCGTGCACCGCGTTTACAGGTTGATCTGGGAACTCTATTTGTTTCTCAAAGAACTTACAAGTTTTCGTGGAAAACATCGTAAATTGTGGGTAGGTGCGTGGCAAAATCTACCAAAAAAAATACTTGTATTGGTCTAACTACTGTGTTTGCTGTATTAGAACTTGTGCTTGAAGGCATTCGACTTGACGATGCAGTCTTTGATGCTCTACGAGCTCTTGGAGGCTGGTACACCTGTCGAACTAATCATTGGCTTTGCAATATTCACAGCCTTAAACTCGTTATTCTGCGCTGTCGAGATCATCAACCACAGATTTACTGCGTTTGCAGAAATCCTCATCGATTCGCTATTTGATCTTTGTGCTGCTGTACTCTTCCCCATCGTAATTCTCGTCTACAGTGCCAAGAATTTCGACTTTGATCGTGCTGTGTACCACATCAACATGGAGTTGCTACCCGTTGGAAGCTTCGAAAGACGAGCACGTATGTTCGCCAGTCCAACAGAGATCGAGCTCTTCCGTGTTTCTTTTGATTCTCTCCGAATTCGCAGTGTGTCGGATTATTTCTTACGGATTGGGATGAATCTTGGATTTTCTTATCGTTTCAAGAGAGTGGTGGAAGTGCTTATACAAATGCAGAATCAGAGACAGCGCCACCAATCCTCGAGAAGAGCGTCATTGGCGCGGCAATATTCAAATTTGCTGAAATTTTCACAGTTTCCAAATGGTCGGCAGCCATGTCAACGTGCGGCCCCAAAATCTCTCGCCATCCTGTATCTCGCTTATAGTGTTGCAGTTATTGTTGTCACGCAACGATCTATCTCGACATCGCAAGCAGCTTGTGCTTCCTACCCTGAATGTGTCGTCTTTGCCTATCGATGGAGAGATACTGGGCTCTGTCCGTGTCGTGCTCTCATTGACGGAAATCGAGCACCGAAAACGTACTTTGAGTGGACTCACCCCGTTGACGCTACAGATACTGTGAAAGCCTTGGCAGCAGCTGGGACATTGGAGACACTTCAGTTAATCAATCGACAGCTAACCGTGCTACCAGATGAGCTTCGAGGATGCCACAATCTCAATTATATGTAAGCATTTAGGTGTACTAACACACAGATAAGGACTTTTGACATTTTTTTTATTACCGAAACAGATCCTTGATCAATTGTGCCATTGAGGAACTGCCGGCGTGGGCTAAGGAGTTCCACAAGCTGCAGTATCTGTACGTCGCTATTACTTATTTGGTTTTTAACAGATTGTTAACATTTGTGACTGTACAGACAGATTGAAGGCAAAGTGGGGAGTAACAATTTAGGTAATTTTGCTGATGATCTCTTCAGCGACATGCCCGAGCTGCGATATCTGCAACTCGGCCTTCATCGAAGAATGATCCGATTGCCTCCTTTGGATGGGGCTCCGAACTTGTCCTGCCTGGTTATGGCTCGCATGAGTGAGTTTACTGCACTCCCTTCTTTCAAGCATCTTCGCCGACTTCAAAGACTCGAATTTAGCGTCATGAAGCAACTGTCCTGGATTCCCGATCTCGAATCCGTCGATACGATTATCCACTTTGCAGTGTATCAAGGAGCAGCTTTATGCTGCAATGGTTTCGTCGGGACGTGTAACCTCACCAACCCGTTCTGCAACGGAGGCTCCTGTCTGGAAGATTTTTCTCTTAGAGCTTCACCGGCAACATTGCAAGTTTTCAATGAATTTTCTGATAATGTCTGCCAGCCTTACTCCGGAATCTCCCAAACCCCAACGACTCCTATGATTAAAATGTGCGATGGGGTTCCATATCGAGAATGTCGTGTATCTGGTCCCGAGCCCAACACATCCGTTGTGGG